TAAATATTTTAAGGTTGGCAACCCTGGCACGTACTGCCCCGCAACCCGCGTTTGTATCCGCGGACGTCATTCATTGCGATCGTTCGCAGTGATCGCCCGCTCGCTACCATCCAGTATGGAGTAGAAATGTTGTCATTATCATCTTGCACGCACAACGAATACCATAATAAAATGTATACATTTTAAAGCTCATTAAGTACATGCTTACTTAATGTTGTTTATGCTGAATATTAAAATATCATACTAGAAGTTCTGCGATAAAATGTCAATGTGGAAACATTATTGATAAGTAGAATTATTAATGAAATGTGTTCAATTAGTAACAAGCTTGAAGCTAGAAGATAAAAGGTTCCGCAAGTTAACAATAACGCAACGAACATAAAAGCCGCGCTCGCAGCATCCATGATAACCTCGAGTGACCTTGTGACGTTTCCGCACTTTCTGCCCGCCGTGCGTTTGTTTGTTGTTGCCGCGCTCCATTTATTCTATCTACATTCTTATGCGATACGCATTGAGCAACCGGTCGTGACCCGTCTTGTTTTACTAACTAGTTTTATACTAAACAAATACTTAATCCCTCACGAGTGTTCAATGCATTACAATCCAATACTTAAATATATCCTTTACAGTATAGGGTACAGCGTGGAGTATTGGCATCGTAAATCGCGCCCACAGTGTTGTAGGTGTTAAAATAGAGGCGCCCTGTGCGGCCCACCACGCTCGATCCATTCCACTTGCTTTATGATAATCCCTAATATCCGGCACGGGCACGAACATCGGGACACGACTGTTCGGTGGCTATGTTTAGCGTGGACGATTACGAGAGGTCGGACGACCCTGACTTGATACCAAAATACGAATGTTGAACTTCATATTTACTTTTGCGGGGGCAATCACCCCAACTTGATTATTCTATTTAATATCACTTTTATATCTTTATTCAATATAAAATGTTTATTGGCGCTTCATCAGAGAAATAATAAACTTATCACTATCTTCATTCGTAAAACATCAGCTACAATCTAACCATTATTATGGTATGTGTATATTAGAATACAATAGTTAGTATATTTGAAATAGGTATTTTAAATTATGAGGAGACAATTTGTTATTTATGTAATTATATAATTTTACATACAAATTCACAAACTCTTGTACTGTAGTAACTATAGCATTTACACGTAGCTACGACTTTTGGCAAGTTATGCAGAACTTGTAGAATTTATCTTGTTGCACCCCGTGCACACAGCAGTAACTCTTTGGTAAAGTCAACTTAACTTACAACCTTTAGAAACCGCAAAGTAACTTGGAGAATAGCTACAACATAGCTACATTGACTTTTAAATTTATAATCTGTAGAATCTTGTGCAGCTCAGTTATACTTAGCTTCTTTTAACTGGTTAAAAAAGCTGTGAATAGTTTTTTTAACCAGTTAAAAGAACTTTATTTTTTTATGTTTTCAAAACATTCATGATAGACTAATTGCAATTGCTTCAATAATTAATGGTCCAAGCTGTACTTAGAACAAGTAAATGTTTTTTTTTTTGTGTTTTATGTGTTAATCCATATATTGAGAATCACTTGCAGTTCTATATATTTGTTTATCTGTATTTAAAATATGTGTATTCTTTATATACATATGTTTTATATCACTTCTGTCACTGCACTCTGCTGTAATAAAAGTCTACAACCTTCTTTCTATTATTTTTATTTGAATTAGGAAAGTAGTAGCCATAAGTAAATGACAAAGCAGTTCAATAGCTAAAATAGATTTATAAGAAAATTGGTGTAAATTATTATTACAATAAGATCAAATTAAAACAATTCGCCGAAGTATAAAAAAATAAGTCTTGACCCATCTCACTGACCTTTTTTTAATAATTTTAATCGTTATATTAATCTCATTTACATACAAAGTGTTCCTCTTCTAAATGATGAAGCGGCAACATCGAATCACATGTCCAAAACGAAAGACGTGCCTTGAGACATTCATTGAATTTTAATGCAGTTTTTATAGGTAGTATACTTTTTATTCATTCTAGGCGAATATAAACGACGATCATCCAGCGCTAACTAGATGAGACTTAGTATAAGGCAATGCCTGATAGCATTTGATTAAAGAGTATAACTGAATGTTATATTTTCTAATTACCTTTCCACTTTGAAATGAAACTGAGACACAATACACGATTTGCGTTTCCATTGATATTCTTATATTTATTTACCATATGTGCAAGCAATGAGATGTCCTGAATTAAATCAATTCGAACTATTGAGAATAATACATATTTTCAAAATGTTCTTGATTAGAAAATTTAATAATAAAAAAATAAATCATCTTTAGATATATATGACCTACTGCACATAATAAATAATGTTATTGAATAAAAATAGGGAACTTGTTATCATCTACATTCCATAAATTATTTATATTTAGACATAATTAATGGTATTAATAATATCATTATTAATAATGTTACCAGAATATTCTGAAATAAATTTTTAACCTAAATACTCTATTAAATTTAAATCTGTACTCATACTGATGACAAATGTAAGACATGACAACGGGATACCGTCACAATTTTAGATTGGGGTACTATCAACTCTTTCCCTTAGGAAATAACATCGCAGAACGTTCTCGAAACATGTAGATGAAATTTTTTTCTCGTTTTTCCCAACACTTGACAAAGCTAATTTAGCGAAAAAATGTGACAAACCGGTTCGTATAAACGTATAAATCAGCGGTCGGGTGTTAATTGGACCGATTCCCCTTCCCTTGCCGTGATAACGTGCCATCTCTCAGCGTAGATACCTACTACTGGAAACCAAATTGTGAAAAAGGTTGTAGAAATGACTTATGTTTTTATTTTAGCTTTGCGAATTCTTTTATTTTTTAAGCGATGTTTGATGTTGTGCTTTCACAAAGCTATTGTAGTCCCTGATTAAATATTTATCTTAGTAGGAGTTAATTTTAGTTTGAAATTATATTTTATGCAAACGTATCATAAGGAATTATATAAAATGTATTATTTTTATTTTTTACTTTTATGCTATCTTACATTATAAGATATGTATAAATGACTTGAGAACAAATATAATAAATTAATAATAAAAATCAATACGTTCCATGGAATTATAAATATACAAATAAGATTGTAAATCCTAGTATCTACTGTTTAAATTTGGTTTGTATTGTAATTTATAGGAATAATAAATATTTGTCATCTTTCGCATGAATCGTGGGAAGATATATGTTTGTCTGAATACTTGTTCAAAATAAAACGAACAGTTACATAAGTAATGTTGATATAGATACGGTATTTAACTAAATCATTGTAGTGATTTTAATTAAGCGACATGTTGTATGGCGCCGCCGCGACGACGTGCGGGGGCGCGGGCGAGCTACGACTCGCGACTAGGGATGTGACATTTTGTATAAAAAATCAAGTATTAATTAATCGACTGTTTCTGTTACTATAATAAGAATCAAGTAGAAAAACGACTTTTCTAAAAACAATATATGTTTGGGTTCCTATGTCCGAATGTGTTGTCTTTTTTCTGGTTTTGAGTTACAATTGGTGTTTGGATACAAAAACTAACTTAAAAAATCACTGTGCTAAAAATCGCATTAAATAAATTGTTTATTTTTTAATCAAAGTTAAAGTTGATTTAATAAATCGATTTTATCATAATCGATTATTTTTTCACATCCCTACTCGTGACGACCGTCAGTACTTCGCGATAAATCACTAGCGGGATGTGTTAACTGCCAGCCTGCCACGCTGCCAGTCCCAACAAATGTGTCGACGCTCACCAATAAACCATGCGTGCTGATAGGGTGCAACCGCCGATTTTAGACACATTTTTTGGGACGTTAATTTGATGTCAGTTCTAAAATAGCTTCTCAATTTGTACAGGAAAATATTACTATTCATATGATACGTCGTGGTTTATGGTACCTATGGTATTGATATCTAGATTATATGGTTAAAGGTATATTAGTGAGCACGCTAATTATAACCGTTACTAGCACGTTTGTATTGGTCTTGGTGATGATTAGGTATAGTTATCACCAAGACCAATACAAACGAAAATGCTCATCATGAATGCTAAATCCTTTTTTCTTTGCACGAAATAAACTAAATGTTTGTTTCGTGCAAGGAATTAAACCGCTAAACATTGGAAGTAAGGCGGTGTGTTAAACCGCTGGGTAACAGCGACCGTCATTAATAAAAGTGTGTAAACATGAAAATTTATGATAAAATAATCAACATAGTATACTTTGACATTAAATATTCATAATTCACAATTCTTTATTAGAGTATTACAATTTTTACTTGATAACTTATAAGATGTTGAATCCTCTTTTGAAGCATAAATATACCTGTGCCAGAGAACTCCGCTCTTCCACAGCTTATTTATTTATATTAGAGTATTAAATAATAGTGTATTTTAAGTATAAATTCCATATTTATTTTAAATCTACACTTATTTTAGTAGTATGACAGGCAAAATGGGTACAATTAATCAAAGTAATTACTAGAACCATTCTTAAGGTGACATCACAACCATTTGCAATAAAATAATATATAATCCCACATAGATTTAATAAATATTAAAATCAAATTCATATAGCTTTTTTCTTCTCTATTCTTCCCGCTAAATACTTTATATATATAAATATATCAAAGTATTTAGCGGGACGTAGCAAGGACGTCATTAAGGATATCAAATTATTAATTAATCCTGTTGTTCAATACAAACATAATAATTGTTTATTTGTAATACTGAATTCTACAATTATGAACTAAATTTGTACAATATAGGATTATCCCATAAGATCCATAAGACGGATTTTTTCCAATCAAAATATATATGGAGTATTAAGAGTATGACGCGCCTGAAGGAAAATGTTCGTATACATACAATATACTTGTATAATGAGACTTACTTTTATGTAATTGATGATTGTAAAATTGATATTCATTTGTCAACAGAGGGTGGAAGACTAGAAGCTGAACTCAAATATACAGCACAAGCTCTGGGCGAGGCAGATTCATCTACTCACCAGTTAATTATTCAAACAGCCAAAGATCCAGACGTCTCTCTATTACACGCCGGAGCCCTGCTAGATCATTTGAAGGTATTTCAATTGTTAAAGACTCTTAAACTTATGAACTTGCCAGCAGCGCTTTAATTTTTTTCCGTTCTAAGTTTTTATTCTTTTTGTGACTGGAATGGCAAATAAACCCGCAGTCCATGTGAAGAAAATATATTGGCTATCTACTTATATCTTTTTATTAACTAGTATTTTTATAACTAAGAACGGAAATTGAAAGAATCTACTATACTAATTTTTACTATACTATTTTCTTTCTTTATTACATTCGTCTATAGAAGACTGTGACGCAGTCTTGCATAAAACGAATACACGCAAGTAAATTAAATTCCCTAAAAATATTAGCGCAATATATTTTTTTAAAAGTAATATGCTTTTGTTGTTATTGTTATTGTAGTGATATTATTCATTTATTAACCATTTTTATATCTTGCATTGTATAGGTAGTGAAGAAGGCGATTGGTATTACTGTGCATATGTACGATTTGGAGTGGAGGCTCAAAGATCTCTGCTACAGTCCGAGCATACCCGACTTCGAAGCTTACCACATAGAGAAGATCTTCGATAACATAATACCTTGTGCCATTATCACCCCACTGGATTGTTTTTGGGAAGGCTCCAAATTGCTTGGACCCGAATACCCTATTTTTGTTCCGTATGTATTACACGCTTTATTATATTATTTTATGCATGTTGTACTTAATAAGAAATATGATGTAGCAAAAGGTATTGTTAGCTGTTGACGTTACACTTGATATGTCCAAATGGTTGGGTATATTTGAAACTAATGGGACATACGGCAAGCATACCGCCGTCTCTTAGATTAGTTTTTAGACTTATTATCGGTATTATCGTCAGCGCGAAGAAATATAACATATTTCTTTTTGTTATCGTCAAGTTCGAACTCCCAATCTTCGGAATATAAGTAGAAGTATAACTACTACACGATGCACTTAAAGAAAGACTCATGGCTATTTAATAATTGTTACAGTGGTTTAAAAAAAAATAAGTTCCAATGGACTCACTTGAATCCACAAGAAGTAGTAGAGGAGGTGCGGAAGTTGAAGTTCCAGTTCCCACTGAGCACAATGGAGGCTTACATGAAGAGAGCTGGCATCACCTCTGCATACATGAAGAAACCATGCTTGAACCCGAACGATCGCGACTGCCCTGTCTCTGCCCCCAACAAGAAATCAGGCCAGGTAACATATTCAAATTATTATCACCCAAAAAAAAACTAACCACTACTCTAAAAACAGCTAACTAATTCGTCACAATTTGTTTGTGAAACTAATTTAATAACACTTTTTATTGTAATGAAAATTACTCTTAATTTAAAGCTCGACTTATCTTAATTAATTATGGTAACCGTATAGAATAATAATATCTTTTACTTAATGATCATAAGGATCTCGACTCTCAATACAGCTGGTAACTATTCTATAACCAATTAATGGCAAACGAATTAAATAATCAACATAATATATTTACAGAATGACATTCATTCGAACTTGATCTTTTGTAATGTTTTTTACGGTTGTTACAAGTATTATTCCATTTTGTGTCAGAGAGTAAGCCATGTATGAAATCATTTGTTATGGTTGCGTGAGACCCACATTAGGGACCATTACGACAACTCCCGCTCCTTTTATGAAGACTTCAATTTACGACAGTTTTACTAGCACATAAATAAAGCGTGTAGAATCATGACAAATAAAATAACTTTATCGAGCCAAAGGCATAAAGTTTAAATACTTTCCATAATAATAAAATATTTTTGGAACCTACTATGTCAGGGCAGGATGAAAGCGGTCGCCGCCGGGCAGATGGTGCGAGGCTACCTGCCGTCGCACCCGTACCGCTCGTTGACTTGTATGCGAGAAAGTCATCGCACTGAATACGGCCAACGGCCGGTATCGGTATATAATTTTCTCAGTGAAATGTTGGCTCAAAAACAGTTAACTTTGATGCTTTACTTCATAAATTTTTATATTTAGTAAAGACGAATAGAATTACCAACTTGCGTTGAATTTACGGTCTATTCTATTTACGAATAAAACATTGGGGACATACTGTGACTGTGGCTTGCCTTTATAAGCGCAGTAGAGGTAGACTGGGTCCTCGCGCCACCCACGTTCGGCGAGCGGAGGAGCTGCGGCGCAGATCGGGCGCGCATTGTTCGTTGCGCCCGCGCAGCCGGACCGCTGCATTATACGGGCGCATTGTACACTTTTCAATGGGCCTCGTTTGCCGCTGCTATCGCCCATCACAATGACACTATTATATCAATAATGCTCACCACCCGATACTGGCGGAGTTACTCGGAAACCTCGTAAATTTTGTGTCCCATTTCATTGTTTCGTAAATAATATTGTCAAATGCAGGTGATGTAATGATTATCAAAGCGGCATTGAGTCGTTGTGTTATACAAAATACAGGTTCCGAGAATTTCGTACACTATTAAAACTAGTCTCAACACAGTTTATTTTTCGTTGTTTTTGATAGACAATCTTTGCATATTATAGAAATGTCTATAGTTTAGTCCTAAATTGAAATTTCAGACGCCAGATATAGCAGCGGAGCTGTCGCACGGTTGTTACGGTTTCGCAGCAGCTTATATGCACTGGCCACAACAGCTGATCGTTGGCGGCGTCACAAGGAACAACACTTCGGCGTTGAGGAGTGCGCGCGCATTACAAAGCGTAGTCCAGCTGATGGGCGCCAGAGAGATGTTCGAATACTGGGCGGACAACTACAAAGTGCATCATGTGGGGTGGACGCAAGAAAAAGCGGCCGCCATACTCGATGCTTGGCAAAGGAAGTTTGCTTCTGTAAGTTTACATTTTATACGATAAAGTAGCTATTCGAGCGTGCCGGCCATTTCATAGTATGCAGTTACTGTTTTTATTTCCTTTGGCATTTTTTGTAATATACTTACACTATATTCTATATTATGTCGATCGAACTTACTATAGTGGACTATTAAATTTGTAACATTTCTTTATTTTAATAGTATTGTTATTCCACAGGAGGTTCGACAAATGACAGCAACAGAAGAAGTTTCTTCGTTATATAGTTTCTATCCATTCTCGACGTCTACATTAAACGATATTCTAGGCAAATTCTCGGAACTATCACTAAAGAACATCATCATTGGTTATATGTTTATGGTGAGTGTTTAAAACCGTAATTAGAACATGCAATACCGTATAGGAATTTTTCAATTCGATATCTAGATTACAGCAGACTGAAATCACTGTACTCAGTTTCTCGACAGTACCTGCCATAAGTATAAGAATTTTTCAGTACTGCGATGCCTAAATTAATCCAGACTCAGTACTCAGTTTTTCAAATGCACTGTGGTATTCCATGTTGCAAGTATAGGATTTTTTTTTTATATGCTAAGTTTTTTTGTTTCTATTTTTATTTTATTATTTTTCAGTTAATTTATGTTGCTGTTACTTTGATGCAATGGCGTGACCCAGTACGCTCACAAGCCGGAGTTGGTATCGCCGGAGTATTACTCCTTTCCATCACTGTGGCTGCTGGATTAGGCTTTTGCGCTTTATTAGGTGATTATTTTTTCTTTTTTTGTTACGAAATACATAATAATTATTACCTAGGACAATTCTTCCATCATTGATATCTAGTCCTAACCTAAGCAGAGCTTGAGTTATGGGTACTAGACAATTAAATAAACAAAGCACCCAGACCTATACAAACATCATATTCATTAATAAAAATGATTGCATTGTGCCAGGATCAAAACGGCGACCATCGGATTTAAAGCGGTGTGATAAACCGCCAGACCTGGGTCGTCAATTGAAAAAGTTATGAAAACATATAAGTTAATCTTTGTAATATTTGTTCCAGGTATTCCATTCAACGCTTCAAGCACGCAAATTGTACCTTTCTTAGCTTTGGGTTTAGGAGTTCAGGACATGTTCCTTTTGACACACACATACGTGGAACAATCGGGTGATGTGCCTAGAGAAGAAAGGACAGGTCTGGTGCTGAAGAAGAGCGGACTCAGCGTGCTGCTCGCATCATTGTGCAATGTGTTGGCGTTCTTGGCAGCCGCCCTCCTGCCTATTCCAGCTCTCAGAGTTTTCAGCCTGCAGGTAAAATAATTTTATAACTATGTATAACTTTGTGAAATTTGTATATATTCGTATAATATAAATCCTAGGATACTATATGTTATTAAAAGAAGACTAAGAAAGGATTTAAAAATAACATAAAAGTGTTCAAATATCATATTCTTTCCATTAAATAATACCTACATGTATTATATTGGTGGTACTAAGTTTTGTATAGTATAAATTTTTAAATAAAATTATACAAAACATTTTGTTTATATTTTCCCTCGCACGGCATTAATCATAACCTATATATTCAATTTCAGGCCGCCATCCTACTCCTCTTCAACTTAGGCTCGATGCTATTAGTGTTCCCCGCTATGATCTCCCTAGATCTTCGAAGAAGGTCAGCGGCGAGAGCAGATATATTATGTTGTTTTATGCCAGAAAATCCGTTGCCGAAAAGGACTAAAAACATCCCAGAACGATCGACAAGAGCCAGCAGAACAAATAAGGTTTTTATTAATTTCTCATTACAATACAATGTGTTCTAAACTGTGCATTTGGTTGTTACTTCTTAAAGAGGTTTCTTTAAGAAGTAACAACCAAATGCACAGTTTAGATTTAGATTTAGACAAAAACATATTTTCTTAACTCGTGAGCCAATGTTAAAATGTCATAAATTTATTGCAGAGCAATTGGAAGGATTCAACAAAACAACCGTTAGACCCTGCTGTATCAGCTGAGGAACCTAAGAAAGGTTGCTGTTTGAGTTTGTCGCTTACAAAGTGGGCGAAAAATCATTACGCACCTTTTATTATGCGTCCTGCTGTAAAGGTAACTAATGTCATAAATAATTAAAATTACTAGATATTTTAATAATAATAAAAGTAACAAAATTTTCGAGTGCAATATATCAATAATAATATTTTTTTCCAGGTTACATCGGTTCTAGCGTTAATCGTAATAATTTTAACTAGTATTTGGGGAGCAACGAAAGTCAAAGACGGTCTGGATCTCACGGATATTGTACCGGAAAACACAGATGAACATGAATTCTTATCGCGTCAGGAAAAATATTTCGGTTTCTATAACATGTACGCTGTAACTCAAGGAGACTTCGAATATCCCACCAAGCAGAAATTACTTTACGAATACCATGATCAATTTGTAAGAATACCAAATATCATTAAAAATGACAATGGAGGTCTTACAAAGTTCTGGCTTAGCCTATTCAGGGATTGGCTACTCGATTTACAAGCGGCGTACGACAAAGAAGTCGAAAGCGGATGTATAACAAAAGAATATTGGTGCAAGAATGCTAGCGATGAAGGCATACTGGCATACAAACTGATGGTGCAGACGGGACACGTGGACAGTCCCATCGACAAATCACTTATTACGATAGACACGAAAGATGGTCACAGATTGGTTGATAAAGACGGTATTATAAATCCAAAGGCGTTTTACAATTACCTATCAGCTTGGGCTACAAATGATCCTTTGGCGTATGGAGCTTCACAAGGTAACTTGAAACCTCAACCGAAGAGATGGACTCATTCGCCTAAAGATGTGGATTTAAAGATACCGAAATCTTCACCTCTTATGTACACACAACTTCCTTTCTATTTGGCTGGGCTCAGTGATACTGAGAGTATCAAGATGCTGATAATGTCAGTGAGAGAGTTGTGCTTGAAATTTGAAGCGCTGGGACTGTCTAATTTCCCGTCTGGTATTCCTTTCCTGTTTTGGGAGCAGTATTTGTATTTGAGGACTTCATTGCTCCTGGCCCTCGCTTGTGCATTAGCTGCCGTATTCGTGGTGAGTGCCTTTGTATATTCATCTAACCTAATATCTTGAGCTACTTGTACTTTACACTGTTTTAAAATATAGAAGTTCAAAAACAACTTACAACTACTTCCAACCTTAGTTTAAATATGATATAAGTCGGCAATTAATATATTGTACTTTTTGAAAACGGTATGAAAATAACACTAACTAGAGTCATTTAATTATGTATAAGATACACTTCCTTAGTTTTTTACATTATTTACCTTTGGTACAGGCCGTTATGATCCTGCTATTAAATGGATGGGCAGCGCTGCTGGTGACTCTCTCGTTAGCGACATTGGTACTACAGCTACTTGGGACGATGGCTCTGCTCGACGTGAAGTTGTCAGCTGTCCCCGCTGTACTATTGGTCCTCGCCATCGGACGCGGAGTGCATTTCACCGTACATTTATGTTTGGTAAGTAATTATTGGGTTTTCCAAAATTTTACATTAGAAAAGAAAAAAACAAACTTACACTTATCGACAAACATTAGTATTTTAATACCATGTTATCGTGTCAAATTATAAGAGAATAATGTGTTCAAGACCTTTTCTGCGATTTGTACTAAGCATTGCCATACCGAAAAGAACGCAAGAGAAAAATGTACCATAAATTAAAATTGCACTTTTTTTTCCTTTACTACATACACTACGATTGATAAAAATCAAAATACCTAGTGAAATGGTTATTTTCAATATATGTATATAAATGTGTTGTGATGAACCTACGACCATCCTAACAGGAGACATTACATAGACAGAATTCACTACATCATCAAATAATAATTCGTATAGCATTTATTACATGGATTAATATATTATTATCACCATCCTAGGCATTCGTTACATCGGTTGGCTGCAAGCGGCGTAGGGCGTCGCTCGCTGTCGAGTCGGTGCTAGCACCAGTCGTTCACGGAGCGCTAGCTGCAGCACTCGCAGCCTCTATGTTGGCTACAAGTGACTTCGGTTTCGTTGCGCGACTTTTCCTGAGATTGCTCTTGGCGCTGGTGTTGCTGGGCCTCGTTGATGGATTGCTGTTCTTCCCTATATTACTGTCCATATTGGGACCATCTGCTGAGGTTTGTAAAAAAATATTTTAAATATAGTTTCAGCATTATAGTTATGTAGATATTTTTAATATTTCTTCTTTCTGTAACTGCTATATCTGTCTAATATAGAAATGTTGTACATATTTTCTGATTGAACCATTCTTTCTTTTGACATATCTGAACTCTGAACCATCACTTTACCTTTAATAACAAATTTTTTCTTCATAGGTCCGTCCTCTAGAACATCCCGAACGGTTATCCACTCCATCTCCGAAGAGTTCTCCAGTTCACCAAAGGAAGTCAAGTTCAAGCACGAGTGGTGGGGATAAATCCAGTCGCACCAATAAGTCTGCTCCACGGCCCAGTGCTCCGTCCCTTACCACCATTACAGAGGAACCTCCAAGCTGGCACAGCTCGGCTCCGTCTGTACAATCGTCTATGCAGTCAATAGTGGTACAACCGGAGGTTGTAGTTGAAACAACGACATACAACGGAAGTGATTCTACGTCCGGAAGGTCGACGCCTACAACGAAGACGTCGTCACATCCTGGTGCTATTACCACTAAGGTAAGATTGCGTGATATATTAAATAAATTATACATAAATATATTAGCTATCAATATAGTGCGCAAACAAGAATACGACTTTAGTGCGCAATCCCTAATTTTGATTTGATTTTAAATATAGGTGTAGAAATTATATGGCAAATTACTTACTATTTATTGGTGAATTTATGTATACCTATAGTTAAATAAAAGGTATGCTGCAAATAACACAGTTCGTATTATTTTGAACAGTAGTACTATTAAAAGCATTGTGTATAATAGTAGTATCTACGTAATTTTCAGCTTGACATATTATTCTCCTAAAAAATATGTAATGAGAAAAATGTGGTTGATCAAGTTTCTGTTAGTATAAAAATTTAACTAATGTTAATCTTTCTAGGTAACCGCTACGGCCAACATAAAAGTGGAAGTGGTGACACCGAGCGACAGAAAATCCCGCCGGTCCTATTATTATTACGACCGCCGCAGGGATCGCGATGACGACCGGGACAGAGACCGCGAACGAGATCGCGATCGGGATAGGGACAGAGACAGAGACAGAGACAGAGATAGATCGAGGGAGCGCGATCGCAGGGACCGGTTCCGAGACGAAAGAGAACATCGCGCGTCACCCAGAGAAAATGGACGTGATTCTGGACACGAAAGTGATTCTTCCCGACATTGATATATCTCAATGTCGTATAGACTTTCATGAACGGGGATGTTCATGTTGACACATACGTTACTGTATACTTTTGTACAGTACTTATATGCGATTATAAATCATATTTGTTACGCTTATAAGAATGACATCTTTACCTACAGTTATAAGAGTGTCATAACTCTAAATTGGAAATGTAAAACATGTTTTAAGGATCGCAATACCATTAATGTTCAACGCCTTAAGACAGTATTACGCTTTAAATTTAAGTTTTAATCTGCAGTAAATTAATATAACATTGGAGGCTAAATAGATTCAGTACATACAATAGAAGTACTAGTATCTCGCTCTCGACATTATTATGTATTATTTTTATACAGGATGGTACTGAAATCATTCCATAGAGCGTGGCACTAGCATTTTTATGTTATGATTCAGTATGCAGCGTGTAGTTATATCCTACGAGTTCTAACTGTATAGACCAAATATCAATTTAAGAACTTGGTAATTATGTATTTTAATTTGTGTGTTCCTATTTAAAAGACATTTCCACTCGTCTCCGTGTTCACTTTGTTACATTTTACATCAACAAAGACTGTGGTCAAATTTTATTCATAATTTATCATATTATTATTATTATTTATTTTATATCTATAATTTTATTATTCTGACACCAGAGAGGTCTGTGGAAAATCTCAGAATTATTGTACAAATTATTTAGGTAGGTGTAATATTAGTTAAGGCATCTATTTATGAGATTACTTAGATATGTATACCTTTACTGTATTGTTGTGATCTTTAGGTAAACGTTTAAGACTGCATTTAACGATCAAACCACAGTATTCTGTGTGCAAGAATCATAAACAATGCGGTGTATAAAGATCATTTATGTACTGACAGATATGCTGACCTCAGTAGAAAAAAATTAACGTTATGACGTTTTGTGCAAAGTACTTATTAGATTGTATTAATTTATACGTAGGTACCTATGTATGTAACTTAATGATATTCTGTAAATATAGGATTACTGTTAGTAGTACCGCACTATATAGTAGAGAGTGCCTGCGCCGGAGCAATGGCAGTTTCATACTTTTGTATCGGTTTTATTTTTATACAATTTTAACTGACATTTTGTCGAAAAACTAGGCGATAATATCATTTAAAGAGATTTCTATGAAATAATAAAATGAATTAGACATATTTATCAGAATGTCTATCAAATTAGTACAAATAAAGTAACTAATCAATGTAAACTAAATTTGATTAAATATACTTGTGCCTGTAACCTAAATTGGAATACGCTTTTTTAAATGAACGAGTTAAACTGTCTACCGTATTGAGAAAATAAAACATTATGTATTGTATTTTTTGTTTTATTTAATCATTGGTATCAAAAGCAGACGAATATAAAAATGAACCTGACATTTATAATAAAAATTGAATTATTGTCTATGCATGGAAAATATACGAGAAAAACTATTACTGGAGGTTCAACGTAATAAAACCCAGTACAGAGATTGTTACAAAATTTGGCGATGCGGCTGGGATTGTGCGCGTTATAATCTAGGAAACGAATTAGCCTAATATATTATGTAAGGTACACTTTACTTAAAATTTAGTATTATTTTATTCCAATAGGTTTATAAACAAAAGGCTCTGAGCATACAATACAATATTAAAGGGCATTGTACACACCCATTATGTTGACGGCTCACCTGACGGGAAATTATGATCGTAGGCTAGACATTAATATATATAGATGTCACAGAATATATTGGCATAGTATCGCTAAAGGTGTAATATTATGTTATCTGTGCTAAAGGTATCTGGTTAGCAGGACTTTAGATAGAAAGTCCTGCTAACCATCTTTTTATATTTGTGCATTGGTATTAAGGTATTTGTATAGGTATATGGAATAGAAGTTGCTTTTTTACGGCCCCTATGAATCCCATGTCATACGGCGAAGTTATGCAGGGGGATGCGTAGATTTTTTGCAATGTGATTGAATTCACAATGAGAAGAACACGCAGAGTAACTGGTCAGCCAATATACGTAGCACTAAAAATATGTAACCTGTTAGGTTTATTTAAAACCTCTTTTATATATATAAAAAATATTAAATATAAAAGAGATTTGTTGTTGAAATATTGTCTTATATGTCAATAGACAAGAGTCTTTGATTTAATATGTGGTAATATCAAAAATCGCGAAACTGAAGTAGCAATGGGCAGGGGAATAGCTCGTAGGACAGATGGCCGTTGGAGCAGTAAAGTCCTCGAGTGGCGACAAGTATACTTGTCGAATAACTTCTTGACAGTCATTCATAGTTCACTGTTATGAATTTATATATCTATAATATTTTATATATATATAATTCATAGTAGGAACCTATGTTATCTATGATTATTCGTACTCTTCAGTTATAACACATTGTCGTTTGTTAAAAAAACTTCAGACAATAAAGATTCTCATCATAATATAATTATATATTTTAATCGCAGTACGTTTAGTACGTAGTTTGGTAAAATCATAAATCATGTGCCTACTTCAACACACCATTTAAATACCACCGTATTTATTCGTCTACTCCTATATTATCAAAATAGGTAATACTTCGCCTACATTAACTAGTTTTGACGTTTTTTTTTTGACAGTTCACACAGCGCCATCTAGATCCAAGTTAAGCTATCTAAAGCTTGTGTTATGGGTACTAGACAACGGATACATATAAACATAGATATTTTTTTTTGTAAATACATATATATTATACATAGAAAACACCCAGACCGATACAAACAATCAACTCATGAATAGAATTGTTTGTGCCGCGCGAGGAATCGAACCCGCGACCATCGGTCGTAAAGCGGTGCACTAGACCGCTAGACCACCGAGGTCGTCGTTTAAGACAAATGATTTGAGAAAATTTGTTCAATAAACGTAGGTACCTAATACGAAAATACAAAACTCCTCTCTAGTAAGTTATTAAAACTTTCCCTGTCCGTTTTTTATTCGGAGCAGGTAATTATATTTTCAGAAATGTATAAACAATTTTAAATTTGTTTGTAATCCTTGATTACCTCGTCAGGTATTATAATGAAAGCAATCCGCCTAGCGTAGCGTGATCCGCTTAGTCTAAATTATAAAATGGGCGGAATTTCAAAGGCAGCAACGCCTGCGACATTCCTTAGAAAGCGGGAGCGCGGGAATCAATAAAGGATTTCCTGGCGGCGTGCCCACGCATGTGCGTGGCGGCGGGTAACGGACCTGTCGCCCTCGACCATCGGACCTCCCGACTTGCCTCCATTCTGATCACAACTAATCCCTGCATGCATTGCTAGTCGAGGCAGCCACGAGCTAGACCAGACCACTACATAACCACCCGCTCGACCACATTCGCTACCCCATGCCGGTTTGTTGATACAGGATGTTTTTATAGCTTCCGCTGGTGAGTTCGCACCGGTCGCTGGCCATCAACCTTATGCATGAGCAAATAAATCTCAGTAATAAGTAGTGGGCCCGCTGCGTGATTGGGCGTATGATTCGCGCGCAGCGTCACTGCGGCTGTAAAGGCAGGGGTGCGGGAGTGAGGGGGTGCGGGGGTGCGGGGCTGCGAGCGGCCGCGGCGGCGCACCAGCGAGCTGCCCGCTCGACACGTTCTGTCCTCGCCCTGCGGCCCGCCCGCTCCGACACCGGCCCGGTCCATAACCTGACACTACACAATCACTCGATGACTCATGTACACAATTAGGGCCATTGGTGACATTGTCAGGGCAGTGTAGTGCGAACAGTGGTGTTACTCGATGTAGGAGCGAGTGAGTGCTGTGCTTTCGTGTGCCCTTGTCATGTGGGGAGTACGATGGTGTTGATAGCCAGCATGTCGCCGCGGCGCTCGCCGCTGGGCTTGCTCCTGGCGCTGCTAGTGGCAGCCGCTCTCGCTAACCAGCTAGAGGATATACCACACAATGAGTAAGGCATCGTTACATTGTAAACTTTTTACAGGATTGTCAATAACATTTAACTGATATTAAAAGTACACTTTCTATTAGATGAAGTCCCCAAGACTTAAAATTAAGAGGATAGGAATAGGATGCAATCGAATAATTACGCATGCAAGGAAGTCCAATATCTAAACGATATATATAAGAATAATAATTTCGTACTGAAAGTGTCTTTTTAAAAAACAGTCAAGTCTTTTCAATTGGATCGAATTATTGGTTCATTAAAAAAATAATCATTAATGATTTAAATTTATGATATTTTATATCAATCCTTAATCATATAATTAAATGAGAGTTACCAGAGGTGTTTTAATTTCATTTAAAATACATAATTTACTGAGATCTGTATTCATTATAATTAAAAGTTTGAAATAATTTAACAAGCATCTAATACATAGTATAAAATAAAGTCGCTGTTACTGTCTGTTCCTATGTATGCTTTAAAACTACGCAACGAATTTTGAAGCGTTTTTTTTAATGGATAGAGTGATTCTAGAGGAATGTTTATATATATATAATACGTAGTAGTAGCTAGTTATAAATGAAAACATGTATTCCATTTCAACACTTTAATTTTGTAATCTTAATCCTTTATTATACAACAATAACAGACTGTCGCGAATCTCTATTTTAAAAGAAATCAGAGCTTGAAATTCACGTAGTACTATATTGCCTCCAACACGCCAATTTTGTAAAGTTTATTTTTCTTGTTGCCTTTTTATATTGAGTCGAGTGTAGCGTAGCTTTACAGACATTGTTGGTGATGTCAATGCTACAATAGCTATCGTTTTTTTATGAGGACATTCTTTGTATCTTTGTAAAGTCCTTAGAAGCGGCAAGAAGCACTCCTTCCTCCTCTTAATACTGTAGAATATATGATTATGATGTTAAAGTAATGTTGTACAACCATCTGAAGGCAGCGTTTTCCACTTTTCATCAGGTAGATAGGCTAAGTGACTGATAGTGATCGGGGTCGGTTCGTATTCTTATCTTAAACTGTGATGTATTATGTTAGTTTGTATTATATATAATGCCCGCTTATTCACCACAGCCAGATTCATTATTTTTACATTATTTAATACATGTATACATTATTGTTAATTAGCGACGTTATGGGACACATCACTTGCGAATATTTTGCGGCAGAGGCAGGCAAGCCTGCCACCGTCTGTTAGGGTGATTTTTGGTTTTATTCTCGATGTTTCTGAGATTTCAACGGAACGTATGGTGCTATCGTACGTATCATTTTTATAACAAGAAAAATATGTAAGAAGATTGGCTGGTACTCATTTAGTCTAAATAAAAGTCTCTCGGGTTGCCTTTACTGCTATTGAAAATCATAATTCTCTACATGAAAGTTTCACGGTCGTGAAGGTCTCTTGAAACTACGTAGGCAGATAAGTTCAGAGTCAAATTTATTACGCCCACACGTAAGCATTTACTATTCCTTTACAAATAAATCTCATAATATTTTGATTCAGATTTATTTTAGGTTTTTATGTGTGTATCTTTAAATATATTTTCCACGAATGACATAACCCGCCAGTATACAAATAAAAGTTTATTCGTATTATAACCGACTTTCAAAAGAAATGGATAAAATATATTATTACATTTTTTGCCTTAGTCATGAGAAGAATAAAAAAATTATCGAATCAATCGTCTACAGATTATCATTTTTGTTTGAGGTAAGTATACTAGTAGGTATACTTTATGAGTTTAATTAGTTAAATGTTACTTTGCGGTCCGCTCGTTAAACAGACTTTATTGAACATCTAATTCTATTTTGTATATTTATCTACCTACGAAATACGTACGTAATTATTCTCAACGTCGAATAAACTTTGTTTGCCCGTAGTAACTCGCTAACTATTATAAAAACAATTCAAAATGTCTCCCCTCGGACAAGTCACTCTGATGCATTCTCACCCGTCTCACTTCTTTTTGCAATGCAACCACACCTGTTGCTGATCTCATAATTTACCTTTTGCATAGTCCTTCAGTCTAAAAGTTATGAATAGCCTGACAGTGGTCTCGGTATCAAATAATTTAAGTAGAGGAATGATTAAGTTCGTGAAAGTGTTTTTTTCTAATTATATGTCATTAGACTATTTTGTTGGTAGTAGTTAGGATGTAATGACGTAGACTAACTTTGAATACTTGTTATACTATATATGCTATTATGCAATTGTACAGTGATGACATAGTATCATAATAAGTTTTTTATTTGTTTTGTCCAACCGGTCTTATCTAATAAAACAAATAATAAAAATGACAACAATAATAAGTAGGATACCGGTGTTTTATAATATTTAGGTAAATGCCTACTGTTATAGTTCGGATATGCGGAAAAATGTCGGATATAAGGATGACCAAACAATATTATAATAATACAATGAAAATTGTTCTGCTCACCACAAACCGTCTGCCTGCCTTAGCGAAACATACATTAGAACCCTTTTCAATGTTATTTATATTTAAAGAAAAACATTTTTGGCCAAATTATATTTTTTCTTTAATTTTCTTTTATTAGCTTACTCATTTAATGCATAATTATAATATGTATTAAATACATTATGAAATAGGAAAAACCTGATCTTTATACTGCGACTGTCTTAGCTGTCAAGCAGCTTGCTATGTACGATGTGTTTGACTGACTCAAGGACAAATGCTCAAAAATATATATTTTGTCTTATATATAAGGAAAACCATGAATCATTATTATAAGTAGGTACCCGTATTCTAAGGAACAATATAATACATACACTAGCAAAACATTACGACGCAAGTCTTATCACTTCTTTTCATCCTCCATCTCCATGTCTTGTTTTTTGTTATATGTTTTTATCTTTTTATACATAATAGTGTATGTGAAAGGAACAATAAACACTTTTCATTTATTCATAAATTTACTTTACAGATATACATTGCTGAATATTAAAATGTAAGCGTTAGTAACGCTTACATTTCACTTAAATGTCCCAAGCAATTAATATTTTTCAGGATGATATTTAATGACAAACAAAAATGTCTTAGTGTGTCCATTCATAATTTACGGAGTCAAATGTATTGATTTTCCTAAAAAAGATTCAATATTTATTTCAAACACTGAAAGACAATGGCCCTATCGATCTGTGTAATTAAAGTGGTTATTGTTTTTTACATTTTCATTTGCTTCGTTTCTTGACTCGTGAAAGTTTTTAAATATCTTTGAATGCAAGTACCCATTCTATTTTCTATAAAATTTTTCTTATCAGCAATATTTTAAATTTTCAATAATTAAATGTACATTTTTTCAAGGAGCCGTATTTTTTTGTATCCTTATGAAATAGACTTTTTGATAATACTTAACAATTAATATCTATATGTTAATTATTAACTCATGCAAGTAAACAATACTGTTAGGTATTATATCAAACAATAACTAATCAATTCACGGATGATGTATGCACATGTATATGTGAGTCAATATTATAGCAATGTTAGTTAAATATGACTCATTTTACTTTTATATTTTAAGCTCGTATTCTAGCTTCTACACTAATTATTTCGGAATGTAGCGCAATTCCATTAGATTTTCACGATGTCAGTGCAAAATGAACTGACAAGTATGACATTTAAATACAAATACATATTACGATAATTACAATTTAGTAAGCGAATAAAGGTACAGATGGATTTACTCTCAATTAATTATTTTCAAAGCTTTTAAATTCGATTTAAATGTAGAAACGTAGCCCGGAAAGCCATACATTTTTAATGTAGGTACACGTCTAAATGTAAATTTATCCCAGTAGAAATATACGACGTATAAAAACAGGACTGACTCTCGTTACGTCTGGATGTGATTATATGTATGTAGTATCATAAGCTATAAGATGCATTTTGTTTGGCGTCTGTAGTATGAATTATTTAAAAATTGAGGCTTTAAAACATTTTGGTAAATTGTCTATTTTCAATAATATGTAATATTTAATAAAGGAATTGAGTTTATTTGTAAGGGGTTAAAGCGTCGGTTATATCATATCATTTTTCAGAATTGAAATTTGAATGGTTTTCTTGTGGAACAATATATACATATCTCACGATACGTATATATTGCTGTTATAAGAAAACCGTATCAAATTCTGCTATAAGATTACTATTCATATATATTGTATAAGATTAACGACACGAAATTAGATTGGAAACCACTGCCGATTTCAAAAAAATCCGTTCGTTGCAAAAAAAAAACAGAAATGCCCTCAAATTGAATACGTAGGTATGAGTACGTGTTTATCCGACACAATGCCAAAACTTTGACACCATAAACTCATTTAATGCCATATAATAAAAAATAAAGAGAATAATCTTCCACAACACAACCTTTTATATGAAACGTCTTGAATAACATTTTCATCAGATCACTACAAAACTGAAATGTATCTTTGCGTAAAAAAAAACTCTCGAATTTACTAAGAAAGTATAAACGTTACTTTTCTTTCGTTTCGTTTCTAGTACCTACCTTTTAGTTACATTCGCGTTATTATAGTTAATGATAATGATATTTTATCATAAATCACTTATTAAAATCAGAGTCTAACGAGGAGAAAATTAATGTATTATATTAATGCACTTTAAATCTGTCAATTAAATTGAAAAAATATTCATGTTGGTATCATATTATCTCATCTGTGATGGTATGAAACACTATTTGCGTATATTTAATACGCTTTCGAAAGGTCTTTGCTCTGTGGCAACACGTGAATAGCAAACATTCGCTTCACCAAGCAGTATATTGGCAGGCAATTACAGTCCGATAATTTATGGAACCCCTCGGTTTATACCCCTCCCACTCTACCGCCGCTAAAAAGATGAATTTTGGTAATGACATGTCGGTGGCTAACGCCGCGATTTGCTAAATGAAAAAGTTCACAAGTGACAGTTGGGAGACTTGGAAGATGGATCAATCCATGATAAATGACTGTT